ACACGGATGATGTAGGCGCAGGTGTACATTTTGGACAGGCCGGGCACGGGTCCACACCAGTGAATACAGAAACACTGCAGCCCTCCGTAACCGTAGCGCTCACACTAGTCGGTTCAACCTCGACATGTTCCGGTCCACATTCGCTAGTCGGAGCCTTGCACTTGTGCTTCCGGCACCTCTCGTACGTTTGCGTTGGGAGAGGATCGGGGCAGGTGATCGATGTGGCGCAAAAGTCGTAACTTTCGGGGTCTCTGTGCGTTATCGTCCTCCATTGGCAATGGGATTGATCCCATGGTTCGAGGGGGTCGAGTATCTCGTTGCAGGGGAGGGGGGTCGGACAAGAGGGGGTGATTGTCTCGGTTGGGCAGAAGATGTTGTCGACTAATGTTGTCGACCAGACCTCCTCGGTGACTGTGCAGGGAACTCGCGGTGATGATGGCCCGGTACAGGGAAGTATGACTGCAGGGCAAGGGATGGGCCCTGCTGTTCTTGTCGCCGTGTAGCACGGTGGGCAGGAGAAGCTGTCGGATTTCTACGTCAGTGTTGAATCTCACTTAATTCAGCACGGTATTTTCCTACCAGTTGACAAGATGCCAAGCAGACGCCGCCGCAAGAAATCTGAACGACCTCATTCTGCCCTCCCAAGAGACACGTAAGGTGCTATAACAAGGACTTGGATCAGAAACTTTGCCAACTCGAATGGGTAAAACAGAGCCAAGTTCAGAATCTCCGCGATATTTTTTTTTCTCATCCAGTGTTTTCCTTCTCGGTTAACGGGCCGAAGGCCAGATAATGCACATTTGCTTTTAATATCAGAGGATCCCGGATAAACAGCTCCAACAAGCGGCTATGTGTGGAAAATAGCATCGACTCCACTTGCCACCCTTCAGACTCATATTCCCCAAGAGGGAGCGGACGTTCAATGTGCATAGAATGGCTTAAATAAAAATAACCTGTCAAGACTCCCAGTATTCCGTGTGTTGTAAAATATAGGTGTGACCCTTCATGCTACGGGGCGCGTGATACGGGGAGACCTCGTGGACGACCACCTCGCTACGTGAAGTCACTTCGCGAAAGAAAATAAGAGCAGGTAGGACCGCCGAATGTCATAAGATCGCCTCGTCCGCGACACAACCAGCGACTTCTTTCAAGGACACACACGGCAGTCGAGCGTGAGATATAGAGATTTGAGTAGTTGTTAAGGGTCTGATAATGGCTATGGGAGAGAACTACGCGTTCGATAGAGTAGGGAATTGAGAACAAAACAGAACGTTAGGATAAACTCGCATTCTCTGGAGATTCGTCATTTCGAAGGCCGTTAGAAGTGATTCTAAGTTTAATATCTCCTGATATGTTCATGATATCGAATTAACACTGGGTCACAATCGAGGGCCTACGTAGAAGCCGAGAGATCGGGACGCGTAGCTCAGGTTGTAGGTCTGCGGGAGGAGCTTGTGCCAGTGAGTCACAATGGGTTTTCTACGCAAGCCGAATGGCAGGACGGAGGACGATTTTTTCCTCTCTATATTCAAACTTCTTTTCCAGAACATAGACACCGCAAGCTGCAGAGAGGAGTGGCTTTCAACTCTCTTGATAAATGATCTTTCTTGTTCTACCTCGTGGTATAAATGGCATGTTCCCCACTCTCTACGCGGTTACACCGCCTGTACGCACTGCTATGCAGATTTCCAAATTCGAAGACAGGGGCCTCGGGAGCGTAGAGTTGGGAAACGAAGTAATCGAGAAATCGAGACCCCACACAACTAAAGCAGCTCTTCTTGTTGCACGAAGAGTTATAGGCACAGCAGAGAACACTCGAGGAGCTGAACATGCCACAGGACAGCTGCAACCTGAATTGCACACGGCCCATGGGGAAAAAAATTGGAAAAGGTAGTAGTGGATTTAGAACAACGGCGACAATGATTGGAGAAGTGTCAGATGCGGACAACTCAACAGCCCATCGCTACTAAGCTAGTGTCACCATCTTGATCTCCCGTGTCCTCGGTTCAGTCATCATTCTATACATTGCTCCGTGGACATATAATTCCCCTTGATACTTGAAGAACCCAAGCCGACCCTCCAAAGGCCGCAGCGCGTATGGCACTGGGCCACTTTCCAGTATCCACACTTCATCTCCGGGCCGCGTGTCCGCCAAGCAAATGCCGATCCACCCTTCCCGGGTACTGAAAACGGTACGATAGAGCATTACTTGTGTGGCCTGCTCGGTGAAGGGCTGCGGCGGGATCATGTATTCCGGGAAGGGTATTTCCCCCCTTGTAGCCGCAACCACGGTTTCGACGTGCGCCTCAAGTTCTTCCATTGTTGGCAGTAAAGGATGGGCACCAATTTTCCTCAAAATTTCAGTAACCTGCTCCCGCCTCTGGACCGACTGTGGTTTCTCCGGGTCGTTTGCGTTTATCCAGATCTGACCTAGGCCGGTTAGGAGCCAGCACTTAAAATCGACAATGAGACGATTAGTCTCACCGCCGGTCCCGCGGCTGAAGTTCATGAGCTCGTGGCAGGTCAATACGTGGATCAAGACCGTGACACGATCCTGTCCTCCGAGCTCATGTGGATACTTTTCGGGCATATCGGCCAGGACTTCTAGCGCTAGGACGCAGAGTGATATGGTCCGCGTTCGTGCATAAGGGTAGACCTTGGATATGCGGTCTAGCTTAAACCCTTGAGTCACGAGCTCATTATTGTCGGTAACTTTGGGATTGACGTTTCTTGGTGAGATTGCTGCCTTAGCGCCAGTTGTTGGTGACATCCCCGCTGAGAACGTGGTGTCCGCGTTTCCCATCGCAACACCAAAAATTCCTGTAGAAAGATCCGGGACCCACGACGGCAAGCCTTGATGCTTTCGCAGGAAGTTCGGCTCGACGAATGACAAGACCTCAAGCTTAGGTCTATTTTCCACGAGAGCCCTGGCGGCCAAGGTATACACCGCCACAGGGTCAGCCTCAAGGTCAACGGCAAATGGGAGGTCGACAGACTTTCCAAGTAAGTTCTGGAGGATGCCAAAAGTCGCCCACACCTTATCCTCAGCGAGAAAGCAACCTCGACGACGGACGGCCATGATCGCCGCCCACCACATGTACGCCCACCCGTTTTCGGCGGCACCCTTGGTAAGGTTTTGTTTCAGGTAGTTGACATCGGTTATCCCGTAACCTCTCACTATTTTGTCCGTAAATTCCGCCGGTAGATTGGCCTTTGCCGCACGTTCGATAATCTCAATCCACTGAAGACGGCTCAACAGAGTGGCAAAATCCACCATTGTCGGCCAGCTCAACTTGACGTTTGAGCACTGCGCTTCTAGTTTAACACTGAGGACAACCTCTTGAACGATCCACACCCGAAAGAACCACCTTCGAGATTGATAGAAGGCCCAGAAGCTCTCCCAGCTCTTGAGCCACGTTTCCAGTAGAGGCTTCAGACCCAGCGTGTTCTCCCAAAATCTAGGCTCCATGCAATTTGCCGAACGCAAGTGTTGAAGCCGTGACGGCGTGTCTTCTCTGAGAAACGCTTCAAGTCTCTGGAAAACGTCGTCGTGGAACCAACGGAAGGTCGATAGGTCTGTCATATCTGAGCCGAGCCAACCTAATACACGCGCGGCTGACGAGTATATTTCGCCCATCAACGGAATTTGTACTGCTTTTTCCGACAAATTATTCTGGTCGATACATAAAGCATCTATCCAAAAGTTCCGGGCCGACGAGAGATTTGTGTCCTCGGAGGATATACCGGAGAGGTATGTGATGAACCAGTCTGATAGATTTGCGGTAACGGTCAAAGTCGTGACATTTGTCGTGCAGAGGTCAACCATTTTGTGAGCCCCTAGATTGTTATCATCACTTCTCTTGAAAGTTTCGAATGCTTCAGGAGGAACCACAATGATCTCGGCCTTGTGGGGACTTATAAGGTCTGGTGCTGCCCTTAGGCTGTGGAACTCCTCAGTCGCCGAACCCCAGGTATAGGATAGAGCGGTGAAGTGATTTCTAGCTACCCCCAGGTCCATCTGGCATATATCAATATATACGCGATATGTCTGAGGATCAAAGTGCAGCAGTCTGACGAGTCGTATGTGGCATGCCGTCTGGAGAGGCTCGTAAACATAGTTTGGGTAGCTCTTACGAAAGCCGAGGCAGGATGCTGATCGCTTCAGGATCATGGTGAGGGTTTAACCGTACTATGAAAAGTGGAGGCGACTAACTTGATCGTCGTGATCGATTAGGGGACATGGGCCACTCCCGAGAAGGTGTTGAAACTGGGAGAGGGGAATCTTGATGAGGGGTTAACGTTCGAAGCTGAAAGCTGAAAGTCGAAGGTAGGGCGCAGCCTGGGCCGAGATGGAACTTCATCGAAGTATCAAGTGGTGTCAACAGCCAGGCTTGAGACAGACCATTACGCACTTCGGCGATGGAATAACTGGCCCAAACATCACACTTGCGCGCTTGTGATGGCCTGTTCGAAAATTCCCGGCCGTAGGCTTTTTTTTCCTTCCCCCCTTTCTTTGTCACAAAATGAGGACAAAGAGGTGAAAAAAATGGAGTGGGAAATGGGAATGAAAATCGATTATTTTTGTGGCTGGAGCACACGCGTTCTATCTCTTGCCCAATTGCTGCTTCTGAAAAGGATCAAAACCATGTCGCTCTTTTTTCCACTAAAAAAAAAAAAAAAATAATCTTGAAGCCGAAGCCTAGTGTGGAGGGACTTATTCCCTAGAAGATCGGGTCGGAATCCTCCGGCTGGATGGCCAGATCGCTTGAAGATGTCCAGCAGTCCAAGGTGAGCACCCGACGATATTTTCTTTCTTGCGTGTCTACTTGATTACTGTAACGTGGCAATCATCCGATCTTCCTTTCCTCAATGTAAAACTAAAGTATGCTCCTGTGAACGCCCACTCTCAAAACGCCATCGGCCACGCGAACGCCGAGAACCTACACCGACGAAGCCACGTACATATTACCCTGAAAGCAAATGCCTCGCGTATATCCGCCTTACAAAAACATATTCCTCTGCTCAACATCCTTTCTCGACCGTCCAGGAGCCGTATAGTCAACGCCAATCACGCTGTCCAAGTCCTTCTCAAACGTTGCCTGAATCTTAGTAACCTGCTGCATCTGAGCGAGATCGATCCGAACATTGTCAAAGGCAGAGAGACTCTCGGCCGCCTTAATAACGTTCTTGATCTGGCGTCCGTTCAGGTCATGCTCAGCCAGCGTGGCGATACCGGCCTCGTCGATGTCCACACCGCCTGGCACCCGCTTGCAGAAGTTCCGCCAGATCTCGGCGCGCGAATCAACGCTGAGGTCCGTGTAGCGGATGGGGATGTGGATACGCGACTTGAAGGCATCGTCGAAGGTCGTCACACGGTTCGTGGTCAGGAACAGGATGCCGCTGTAGTACTCCAACACGCGGAGGAAGACGCTGACCATGGCGTTGCGGTGTAGGTCGTGAAGGGAGCGGCGCTCGAGGAAGACGTCTGCCTCGTCGATCAGTAGCACGGCGCGCCAGGTGGCCGCCATGTCCATGATGTCTGTTAATTGCCTATCGAGGTCGATGCTAGAGGTTCCCACTATAGCGAGCTGGTTAATCGTTGTGATACTAAAAACAGGAGAAGAATCGAGGATATAGCTCAGGGGAAAACTTACAATCTCCAGAAGATACCATGTATAGAGGTCGCTTCACATACTCGGCCACACATTCAGCGGTCAACGTCTTTCCAACACCAGGAGGTCCATGGAGAACGCAGACGAGGCCTTGACCCTTGCCCTTGACGATGTCATCAAAAGACTCACGCTCCCGGCTGTGGACGGAAACAAGAGCCTGCATGGTCTTCTTAACGGACGGGTCGAGCACCAAGCTATCGAAGCAGTCAGAGTTCCACCGGATAGGCTCGAGCAGCTCGACGGAAAACTCGAGGAACTTCTTCACCGAGAACGAGTAGCCCCGCACCCTCGGATTCGCGAGGAGCGCCTCCTCATCCGAGAGCTTCCTGTCTTCCTCGTCCGTACGGTCTTCGAACTTGAGGACGTTAAACGATCCGTTGGCCTCGAGGCGGTGGTGAGTCTTGCAATCGATCATGACACGGCCGTTGACGCTGAACCGGACGTACCCGCCGTTGAAGCCCAACTTAAAGGCGATGCCGTCGTACTGAAGGAAGTGCTGTCCGACGTAGCGCTCGAACTTCCTTCCCCGCTCCAGCAGTTTCTTTCGAGCCTCTGGGGCGTCGTCGGTGAGGTCCAGAGGCATGACGCTGAGCTCGCTGAGCTGCTGGCTGCCGTGGTACTTCCGGATGAATCCGCTGATCCTCCGAGTGCCCAAGGTCTCGCCGTCATAGTCGACATACTCCATCGACAAGTTCATTCCCTGTTCGCTGTTGTCGTCGTCATCATCATCATACCAAGTCTGCCGAACGCGGAATGCGCGGTCCTCGCCGTGGAGCTTCATGTAGGCAATTGTGCCGGGAGGGAAGAGAGTCCACAATTTATCATACGACATGGACTTGAGGTCGCCGGACAGGCACCTCTCCGAAGCGTTGATCTCCTGCTCGAAGCGCTTCTTGATCCAGTCAACGAGCATGTCAAGCTGTGCGCGGGACTCCGCATCGTCCTTGAAACGCTTGGCGCCTTCGGACTCGATCTGCTTCCTGTAGTGGAAGAGCGAGTGGTACGGCGCCTCGATCCTCACATCGGTTTCGTCAATGGGGTCACCAGGGTAGTCCCCAATGACATCGCGTAGCAGATCCCGAAGGGGCTGGGGATTGACGTAGAGCTGGGTAGAATCGAGGTCACCGTCCGAGTCGTAGTGCTTCACCAAGCAAAAAGCAAACAGCCGCCACCAGTCCTTCTTCTCGCCGCTTTTCTTCACCTCGACGACCTTACGCTCGCAGAAGTACTGGTTGTCCTCTTCATCGTAGCGGCTGTCGAGATGCTTGATCTCGCATTTTACGGGCTTGTTCTCGTTCGAGTCATCCTCGCTTTTATCAATTTTCTTCTCGGGCTTCTTCTCTATCTTCTTAGCCTCGAAGCCTGGGCGATGATTTTCGTTAGCCTCGGTGCCAGGATTGAGTATCTGTGATGACCACACTTACGCAAGAGCGTCCCAAGAGGGAGCATGAACTTCGAGAGGAGCGTGTGGGCCATGGTGGCGCACGGGTGTGATGGTCCCGCGATGGCAGGACACTTTTTCTTGGATACGAAAGTTGGGTGTTGATGAAGAGAAGGAGGGGCTGGTCAAGTATGGAAAGGTATCCGGGTGACCAGAGATGAGAAAGCCGTGGGGTTGAAATTTTCTCAGTGCCTTCTCAAACGAGACAATCAATTGGAATGGGATGTCAATAAATATTCCAGATTCTGGTGTCAAGTGCAGGGCCTCTGAGGCGAATCCGACTCATTTTCAGCCGCATGGAGGCATCCGGCGCAGGCAGCAATGCGGAGCGGGGCAACGCCGCCGTCGCTCCTTCCCCCGCATAATCTCTGCCTAGAAGTCTGCAGTGAGATGGGGTATTTCATGTGAGTCAGGGGCCTCAGGGTCCCTCGTAAGAAGACCAGGCTGGGCCAAGGCAAGTGCTATTGGTGAGATCGGTACACCGCCCGCTGCCTAAATCGGACCAGGATCGGGGGCTTGCAGTTCGGCATGATTCACCGGTGGTGGACGTCAAACTCTAAGTGGACAAGACAATTCCAGGCAGAAATGTCATGATATGGCCCGTTCCTGCCACTAGTGCGCCGGTACTGCGCCTCACTCGGGTCGGCGCTCAGCCACTGAGCACTGAAGGGGGCCAAGTATTATACACTTCGGCTCGTAACTGTTTCCTCCCAAAACTCAATGCTCGCTGAAATAAAATAAACAAAACTTAAAAGAGAAAACAATCTCAAGATATACCAATTTGCCCTACCAGCTTCATCAAGTCTTCTCTTATTATTATAATACTTATCTTTGCGTTTTTATAGATATACTTCATCAGAAAATGTGGGGTACGGGCGGGACCGCAGCGCGCACTGTGACACGGGACTTGCCGTCAGGATGACTCAGCTGTGGAGCCCAGCCGGAACACAGTCAGAAATGGGCCTCGCGCAGCACAGCACACAAGTCAGTCCTAGGGCAAGTTGAACTCTTGGGCAGTAATTGAGTTTGGTTGAGCACATACTTTTTTCGTGACACTGGTCTTTCCTCGAGCTATACACAGTATATCCTTACACGGTATAAATCCTGCCGTCGACGGGCACCTTCTCGTGCCGGAATGCTAGACTGTTATGGAGGCCAGCACTTACTTTTACGCGCTCCCGTGCTGCCCAAGTCTGTTCCAAGTCATTCCTGAAACGCGCGACCTGCGAGAACTTGACCAGATCCCAGCGCCGCTGCAGCTCGGACCGGATCAAGTCAATATGCTCCGCAGAACTCATAAAGAAGCCCAACGTGTACGTAGGCCAGTTCCCCATGTAGCAACTGGCCCATCCGTCGTCGTTGCGGCGTGCCTCCAGGATCTGCACCGCCTTGGCCACCTGCCAGCAATCGCTCGGCATGGCCATGGGCAGACCGTCGGCAACATCAACCTCCAGTGAAAGCTGCTCGAACATGACCGACGCAATGACGGCGAAAAGGTAAAGCGCGTCGCGGTAGTAGCTCTGCTGGCGGTTCTTGACGGCATCACCTGGGAATAGCTCGACGTCCAGCTCGCGATTGCAGAGGAGCGCTGCCTCCCACATCTCAACCTCGCCGCGCAACTGGTCAATGGTGTCCTGGTCACGTCGGAAGGGACATTGAAGTTGCTGCTTAAGGGAAAGGGTGAGCCGGAATAGCGACACGGGTACGCCGAGCACGGGGCTGTTGACACTGCGCGGCTGGTCCGGGAAGAACGTAGAGCGCTCGAGCAGGTCCTCGGCGCGGAACCAGAACTCGGCATTGAACTCATAGTCAAGGCCTACGGGGTCCAACCACAGCCCGGTTGTCGCCAAGAAGATTTGGTAGAGGAGGCTCTCGATGGCCAGCCTGTCGAAGAGGCGCTTGATCTGGATCTGGCCCTCGAGGAGGCGCATGGTCAGGATGCGCGTGGCGGCGTTGACGTGTCGCGGGATATCACTGTAGGTGCCTCTGCCCATACACTATCGACACGCGCGCATTAGCATGACAAAATGTCTTCGATCAGCCGGAAGATTCCGGGAAGGACTGTAGACAAGACATACGCCGTGGAGGTACAGTAGCATCACTGACATCAATATGCCATTGTGGTTTTGCAGCTCGTGCCCCGCCGTCTCTAGCAGGCGTGACAGGTCCTTGAGCGAGTTGGAGTAGTACGTTAGAGCAAGCTCCTGCATGGTGGATGACGTGTCGATGAAGTGGATGTGCGATGCTGCGTTGGCCAACAGCGAGTAATACAGGCTCTTGTGGCGCGTCATCAGTTCCTGGATCTCGATGATCCACCCGTTGTAGAAACCCGGGTGCCCGTTGGGTAACAGCAACAGCCCGTAGTAGCGCTCGATGAAGTGCCGCGAGATGACCATCTCCAAGTCGCGCGAGATGACGCCGTGCGCCGCGCCGGCTTCGGTAAGCAGGCGCAGCTCAAGCGGTACCGAAAGTGGGTGGCCGCCCCCGGCGACGCTACGGGTCGCGAGGTGCTTCGAGGAGGCCTTCTTGATCTGGTGTCGCGAACGCTCGTGCGAGGCGAAGCGCCGGTCCAGTAGGTCCGCCGACGACGGCCACATGCATTCACGGCCGGCGCGGGCGCAATATCCGCATTCGGGCACCTTCTCGTCACATTTCTTGTGGCGCCGCCGACCTGAGAATGCAAGGTTAGAGACGGCGGGCGGAGGATGAGTAAGGGGATGTTCTACGGACATGGGAGGCACCCTGTCTTGGTGCGAAGCCTCGCTTTTGATGTACTGTTCGTGGACATAATGGTATCAAGTATTATAGCCGAAGAGTTCAGTAGAAGAGTTCTCCACACTTTGCATCTCTCTTTTTGGGGGGTTGTGGGTTGTTGGAGGGGGTAAAATGGTAAGGCTTAGACAGGGCCCGGGGGGCAGTGGTTTGACCGGGAAAGGGTTGGAGGGTTGGTCGATGGGCCAGGTCGAGCTATTTACGTTTGCAATCCAGCTGGATGGCGCTTCTCCACTCCTCCTTGGCGCAACGATGCTAGCCTACTTCGTAGTTAATCACACCAGACAACTGGAGAAGGCCATCCCATCCAGGATTTGGGGTTTCGCCGAGCCTTTTTCTAGGCCTACCCCGCGTCGGACTTGACCTTCGCTTACAATTCCCCATTCCGGGGATGGTTGTCAAGTGCGGGGGACTTCTAACCAAATCGGGTGTCTGCTTCCCATCTGAATTATATAGAAAGGTGTAGAAAAGTGACTCTAATTCCACAGACCTTATTAATCTCCCATTATCATTAGTTACGAAGTACACGACGGTACTATATTAATCCCCCGGGCTGATGTCTCACTGAGATTGCACAGGCAGAGCAAGACATTCAGAAACTTACAGGCCGCCTGGTGTCATGAGAAATTGATGCGCATCACTACAACAAGCAGTTGCTAGGCGAACCTAAGCCGTTGGAAAATACGTAATTTAACACTCTAAGAAGCGAACCCAGTCTGGCCAAATTGAACTGGAAAGAGAGGCTCAACTACGTAATACCCATCGCCTTCCTGGTCGATTCGGCTTCACCTCGCCAAGTTTAGGGGCTCTCCCACGTGGCCCTGTCCTCGTTGACCACCTTATGATACTTGCTGGCACTACGAACTCGAAGGGACTTTCCATACTTAATCATGGCGAAGAAGACACAGGAGGCAGCCATGCCAACAAAAGCAGCCGAGATAAAACAGTTTTGTGTACCAAGGTTTGTCAACCACGGTGTGATACTAGCGGGTCTTGTCAGTCTCTGAAACTATTTATCCCACTGCACTGCACGAAGGAGAAACCTACCCGTAGCCCATAGCAAAAGACATAGTATTGCGCACAAGAATGACGGTGACGAGCGCATCGGCTCGGATGTCGTGGTAGCTGTCAATCAGGTAGTTGATACTCAGCGTGACGCCGACGGCAAAGGCGAACGCGACACAACCCATGGCGAACGTGAGGCCGAACCAGTGCACGCCCCGGGACGCCCCAACGCCCCACAAGATCAGCGCACCCGGCACCACGAAGACGCAGACGACAAATGGCCACAGGCGATGCTCGGCCTCCATGATACCGCTATTGCGGCGCGCCAGCTTAATGGTGAGCCAGTCGCTGAACCGGCCGGAGAAGAGCGAGCCGACGACAGTGCCCACACAGCAGGCGACGTAGCTGAGGCCGACCATGGAGGGTGAGAAGTTGTAAGGCTCTCTAGACAGCACGATGGAGGCTGTGGCGTTGAGCACGTTAAACCAGATGATGTAGGAGCCGTAAGAGAAGCCCGCGTAAAAAATGACCGGCCAGCTAAGGAATTGCAAGCTGCGTAGGGCTCGCCGGAATACATTCTGGCCTGGCGACGGCTGCCAAAGTGACATCTTTTGGAAGAATGTCCGCGCTGGTGGGTATTCCTCGCTGGTCTCGGCCAAACGCGGTGCGGTCTCCGAATGCTCGGCGTTGGTGGCTTTTTCGTCAGCAGATGATCCACCAGGAGCCATTTTGGTCTCAGTGTCGGATGCTGCTGACGGTGCCTTCCTGTTGTAATTGGTTTCCTCCATAAAGAATAGCAGGATGAGCAAGGTGCCGCCGAGAAAGATGGCTGGCCAGTAGAAGACCCACTGCCATCCCTGGTACTGGGCGATGAAGCCGCAGATGATGGGTGCAAAGTAGTTGCTACCCAAGAGGGATAGAGTGTACAAGCCCATGTAAGTGCCACGCTCGTGGGTGAAATACTAGAGGGAAGGATAAGCTTTGGGGGGCGCCTGAAAGCTGATGGACGTGGAACCAAGGGGCACTTACTATGTCGGTGATGGAGATCTCTGGAAGGGCTTCGATGGGCGCCAGAAGGAACCCCTGTATGATACATTTTGCAATCCATTCTCCGTTGCTCTTGACGTACGCGCTGCAATACTTTGGTGAGCTTTTCTCTCAGGAGACCATGGATCGGGGTTTGGTTCAATAACACTTACCTCCACACGCTCACTCCCTAGAGACGCAGATGTGACATATCTGGTCAGCTTGGTTTGGAATTATGCGGCTTGCCTAGATATAACTCACAATTCCTCCCACAGTAGAGATGATGTATGCCAAACGCTTGCCGTATCGCTGCGAGAAGGGCTGCCAGAAGAGAAGTCCCCATCCCAGGAAGAGGAACATGAAACCGGTGCCCTCATTGAGCGTGCCGATCGAGACTCCGGACGCCTTGGACAGCGGAACAATGACGGAGTATACCGTGGAAACTGAGATGCCCACAAACCAAGTGTATCTATCATACTTATCGTTAGCTGCTGCTCCTTGACTCGCAAAAACTGGATTGATGAGGCTGTATAGCAGTGTATCACACTTACAAGTTCTGGCAGATCAGGTTGAGAAGCTTGCGGCGGGGAGACCAGTTGAGGGGATCATTGGGGTCATTGGAAGGGGCCGGGTCGAGAACAATATCCGCGTGGCCGCCAGCATGGCGTGCTCGCATGGAATGATCCAAGTCTACAAGGTGGACGGTGCCGGGTATGGCCTCGGGCCCAGGCATGTTCTCCAAAGCAGCAGCCATATGGATATAGAGTATAGACAAGAAGCAGGGTGTGCACAAGAAAGTCGGGAATATGATAAAGGAAGAATATCGTGGGAAAGCGACATGGGAGATTTGGGGAAATCCGGGGTCACCCAGGCCTTTTTAAAACTTTCATCTGAAGATGCAGGGGCTGCGTGCAGAACTTTTTAAGAAGTATCAAATCTCGCTGCCCGTCAAATCATAATATGAGAGTCGTAAATCTTGGGGATCTTACGAATCGACTCGAATCCGTGCTGCCGTCATGATAGCTGGCGAAGGGTTCAATCGAGAACTATCGATATTTGTGCCTGCTACGCATTGTCCGGGGTAAGACCCCGGTCTCTAGCCAATGCCCTTTATTACCGACTGGTTGGAAACTCCGGGGGTGGTGCGCATGGGCCTGATGGCGTGTGGAGGCTTGGCGAGCCATGCGATGGGAGGTGGCATCGGTGATTGACATCTGGAGTCGTAAATGGACATCATTGGTCGTCCACTCGTCTCCGCACTTTTCGACTCCAGAATCCAGATATCAATCACCGATGCCACCACCCATCATTCGGATCTTGGCAGAGCTCCGGCATACCGCTGGGAAGTTGTCGGAAGCGGCCAATTAAGTGTTTTTACGACTATCGGGAGAGATTCCCTAACTTCCCTTACTCCGTGATGCCATCTCCAGTGCCCCACGCCGAGAACGGCATTTTCGGAAGTCGGCGAGTTCGGGATTTCTGCATCGCCTACCTCATGGTCCTGCTTTTGGCATGTCATAAAAAGAGAGGTTTCCCCATCCCCTTTACTCGAATTTGCCTGCAGACCAGACTTCATTCGATTCAATCCATTAAATCCTATTTCCTAGTCTTCTCCTGCACCTCTTTATTTTAGACCCCGTCTCTTTCTACCCTCATAAGGCATAAAGCCGTCCTACCGTGTCGCAATGGTCACCGCTGCTCTTCCCGTCATCCAGCCTAAGGGCGTACCCCCCGGAACCAAGGAGTACGAGGCCAGGCGTGCTGAGATTCTCGGAGCCTTCGCGGAAAGGGTCCCCCAGGAGCTCCGCCTCCCACAGGATCTCATCAACAACCCTCCCACTGACGTTTCCGGCATCCCCGCGTCTTGTGGTCTTCTGTCCACCCAGGAGCTCGAGATCACCGAGAAGTATGATGCCTTGGGTCTGGCTGAGGCTGTCGCCAACCGCAAGTACACGGCGGTCGCTGTGGCTACCGCCTTCGCCAAACGCGCAATAATTGCCCACCAGCTTACCTGCTGCCTGACCGAATGGTTTCTTGATGAGGCTATCACTCAGGCAAAACAGCTCGATTCCTACCTGGCCAAGCATGGCAAGACTGTTGGGCCCCTGCATGGTGTGCCTATCAGTATTAAGGTTCACATACCTATTGCCGGAACATGGTCAGTGCAGAGCTGCCTAGCGACATTGGTCAAGGATAAGGAGGACTGCCATATGACTTCCATCCTGCGATCCCTTGGTGCTGTCTTCTACTGCAAGACAAACCAGCCGCAGACTATCATGCACCTCGAGAGCGACTCTCTTTGGGGCCGCGTTCTCAATCCCTTCAATATCAACTTGTCTGCTGGTGGCTCTACCGGCGGTGAGGCTGCCCTAATTGCCCTTAAGGGTTCTGTTCTCGGGGTTGGAACCGATATTGGCGGAAGCATCCGTGGGCCATCCGCATTTAGTGGTATCTACGGCTTTAAGCCTACCTCCTATACCCTACCTATGCGTGGTTTCCTTGCTGCTCCTTTCTCTGCTGAGCTCAACGTTCTATGCTCTACTGGGCCCATGTGCCGCAGCCTACGCGATATGGACCTATTCATGCGCTGCATCCTCTCCGCCAAGCCACACCTACTTGACCCGCGGCTAGTACCTATCCCCTGGACCGGCCTTGCTACGCCTACACCTCCTGGTCGCACCCTCAAGGTCGGCATCATCGAGCATGACGGCTTCATCGACCCACAGCCGCCTGTCAAGCGTGCTGTAGCTTGGGCGCGCCAGCTGCTCTCGGACCCGCGACATGCATCCGCTATTGAAGTTAAAGACTTCCGGCCGTATGATGCAGCGGCTGCGTGGGCGATGATTCGTCGCATGTACTGGCCGGACGGTGGTAGCACAGTCAAGGCTGCTATTCAGTCAACTGGCGAGCCCGTGTTCCCCCTCAGTGATTGGATATGGAAGGATGAGGAGCCGGCTGGGATGCAGACTGCCGAGGCTGTGAATCAGATGCGGCGGGAGCGAGACGAGTTTCGATGCGACTTTGCAGCGAGCTGGCAGGCGCAGGATGTGGATGTGGTAATCGGCCCAGCCTTTGTGGGCCCGGCCAGCGCGCATGACACGGCTTTCTATTGGACGTATACCTCGCTATACAACTTTGTCGACTATCCGGGTGTCGTCGTGCCGACGCCGATTAAGGCTGAAGGTGGCGAAAAGTATGCGTCCGATTACACGCCTCTTAGCGACGCATGCAAACACGTGAAGCAGCTGTGGGAGGAGGGCGACTTCACAGGTGCGCCTGTAAACCTGCAAATCGTGGCCCGAAAGTATCACGATAACGAGCTGTTTGGCGCTCTAGCTCTTCTCAAAGATATTCTGAACCTGCAGTCGCTTTAGATAGATCTATTAAAATAACTGTTCCTGGTTTGTATGGGTATCAATAAGACAAAAGTCAATGCCCCCAAGGACACATTCGAAAGAAAGAACTCGCTACATCCCCAGGTCCTTGTTCTAGTGACCGGGCCCAGGGCCACCTGGGTGATAAGCACGTCGTGGAGGACATGGCTGTTGAGTAAACTCCCCATAATTCACAGCGCCCCACACTACTAGATCCCGAGTAAAGCAACAAGGGCCTGGTGCCCACTTTGGCATACTTCCTGAATCCTGATACGCATACCGAGGTAGCTCAACCATTTTATTACTTGGCCTCTCCTTTACCCAGGGGCACCGACTCGCTCCCCGGCATCGAGATCAGAAGACTCCACTCAAGTCAGGCAGTCTAGAGACATCGGCACCGGAGCTGTGGGGCAATTACCTTCCGGGAAGGTTCGAGTACCTCTTATGACATCCCTGATTTCGAAGCGTAGCGGACTAGAGGACTATAACCAGACGATTTTTTTCTCTTTTCTCTTTTTTTTTCTCTTTTTTAAAAAATAAAATAAAATGGGAATATGATTTAAATAGTTCGTCTTCGCTTTATTAGTAGCGAAGAAATAGGAGACTTTCGTCGACCTTTTTCAACCTACGGACACGGCATCCAACGGATACGATCTTTAATTTCCACGACTTGGCCGACCCATCGCAACGGCGGTTGCTAATAACACTCTCTTCAGCGGGAATGCCAGCCCGACAGACTATCCCAGCATCCCAGCAACCAGAGCAACCAGAGCTACTAGAGAATTACAATGGAATCTTATCTCACTTGAACTGCACCATCTGTTCCACCCCCTCAATAGGCTCAATCCACTCTAGCTTGCGGCTCGTCCACAACTCCGTATCGGGCTTCTTCTTTATATTATTTCCATCGATTGTCCCAACCTGAACAAGGTAGAAAGGCTTGAGCATGTCTGCCTCGCCCTCCTTGACCAAAACGGTCCCACAGTCTGGGCAGAAGCGATAATCTACCTTCATCCCGCTCTCTTGTATGAAGCTGTTGGACTTAGGCGAGCCGGACGTCCATTCGAAGTTTTCGCGTGGCACGAAGAAGTTGTAGGTGAATGCGCTCCCGGTAAGCTTTTGGCATTCACGGCAGTGGCAGATGGCCTGTACAATAGTCAGCTATGCTCAGCTCCATAGACGTGATGTCTGGGAAAACTGACCGTCGTCGTCGGTTCACCAGTATAGGTGTAGGTGACCTTCTTACAGACACAGCTACCGGAGGTTGACGCCATGTTTTCAGAAAGGAGTTGACGGTTTTTAATTTCGAATTACCCGTGCGAAGGGATGAATGTAATCTAATTACCCATGGTTGGAAGAGGCAAGGCACTGAGATATATATAGTTGTCACAGTCCAGGATGAGATGACTATCCGTAGTCTAGGCATTTGAGATCGGAATCACATGTGGGAGCACACCACTTCGCATCTGTATCTATCCTCATGTCGCCCGTGTGATGCATGTACTCGGCGTCACTTATAATCCAACTTCAGTTCGGTTTGCCTCGTGAAGTGACTAGGCTCGAAGTAGTAGGTTGACCATCGAGCTTGTCATTGATCAAGTACCTTGCAGGAGGCCTACCCAACGCAGCAAGAAAGTTTTCGTTTCAACAAATATTGACGTAATTATGTTAATATATTATCATGAATTTTGGGACAAATGTGAAGACACCACCCCGGCCATCCCCACGCTATAACATGAAGCTTAAACCCATTAGTACGAAACCTTGATTATGCTTGGATCGCTCCGTCGAACTAAGCCTACTTTAACTGACGTTCTACTGTGAAAATAGCACCAACTCCTATTTGTCGGAGACGCTTAGAGCTGACCCTTGACACTATCCCTTCTTGAAGCTTATTCTTAGGGGGCTTTGATTGCCTACACACTTAGACTGGCGGTCAAACAGCCGACGACCTACTTGGTAAGGTCGCAGTCCTATGTCCATGCTGCAGTGACCGATACCAACTTAGCTCTTCCGAGTCAGCTTTCTATCACAAGGTACCATGGACGTTCACGCGCCATTTCACTGTATCAATGGTCCTCCAGTCGTAACATCCGAACTGATTAAACTTTGGAACAGCTTAGAGTCGCCCATTTGCCAACACCTGCTGTGCAGCTCACAACTCCCCGGCCGTAATATGGATTGGAACTATTACGATTTACTGTTATGCCCTGCAGATCTGTTCATCGAGGGTGGCATTCGGAACGTACGCATAATCTGTCAGAACCACCACTCTAGAATCATTGATGGCAAGGTCTTGGGGTCGCATCCGCATTATTTCACAGACTATTCGCTTGTCATCCGTGGGCCAGAGGGGATAGATAGTTGGGATGTACAACTCTAGATCTACCGCCGCCTAGGTACTTGCCACACTCCATATGACCGCATTTGGCGCACCTACTTGCCTAAGGGATGAAATGAAGACGACGTCAATCGGGAACCTGGTGATGGTGCGGCTCGTCGCGTGCGGCATGAGGGCGATCAAGAAGCATGGCCATTTGCAGGCAAGGATCTCTCACCGGTTTACAATAGCCAGGATATGCAGCGACTCGGTGAATAAGAATTATTTTTGCAGTAAATTACTCCATCTGTACTCTCCTACTACTGTATGTACCCTACGGCTTACTTCTTACGCCATCCTTGCATCTACACAGCCTCCTCGTAATAGCATCAAAATATGGAAGGCGGTCCGTCCATTTCATCATGGACGCCCCCAAGGAGAGACTGAGCTGTATGGGAGGGACGAGTACAACGAATCCTGGCCTCCGGTCGAGCCGGAGCGGGGCTGGAAAGATTAGCGTTGGAATGGCTTCGTTGGATGAATCCGTCTCCCTCCATCTAGCCAACGGTGGAAAAATGAGCCGGCTCCTATGGTGACACTCTCAGTGTCTTCTTTCATCAACATCGCCGATACACTCTCTTTTGCCATCGGCATGTGGAGTGTGCGGCAAGCCTGTGGCGGGCCAATTTGGTCCTCCGTGGGAAGTGAATTGAATGTATTAATTATCTTGAAGTTTGAATTCTTGTTGTCTCCGTGGGGTCTCAGCCATAGTAATGCCCTATTTGCGAGATACCGCGCTGAGACCGGACGGCGGATGTGGTTGCCAAAGTTTCCAAAAGAGGGGAATGTCGAAAGACCTCTACAATCCTGAAAGGGCATTCTAGATTCTCATGGCCCCATTTGGGACCTCTCTCCGCGAGTGCCTCTATGACTTGATAGGTTAGGTCAACTGCTACCCCGCAGAGAGCATACGCCAGCGCCAGCCACGTGTTGGTTGGGGGATCGGGGGACGCTAACGCCTTACGAAGGACAGGATAATGCATACAGTACACTACGGAGTAATTAAAATCCGGTGCCTCCACCCAGTGCCCATTCGACCGGTGCGCGTCCATCGACAGTTGCGGATCCGCACGCGCGCACATGCAGTGAGCGGGTAGAAACTTGGCGATCAAGTGGGGACTAAGATGCTGATTGGGCGGTCCTATGGGAAAGCGGAAAGGAGAAAGTGGATCGTCTTTTATCCCAATACGGAGCGAATGGGCTTTGCGGTGACATCTTGTCGCAATAGAGATGATACTGATGCAGATCAGAAAAACAGTGGGATTGTTTACCCTCCTCATCTACGCTGGGATAATGGAGAGCATCGATCGGGTTTGCGTCTCTATTATCGCCGTAGGTCGCTTAGCGAGAGAAACGCTCGTGGTTGAGTGGTATGCGCTAGGATCTCCTACGGAGAAGATTTACACGGGACATTCTAATATTCTGATGTAACATATGCCCCCAGGTGTTGGCCTGTTCAATACAACCCGATTGGCGTGAGCGGTTGTGAAAGTATAAGACCTTATTTTACTTGTGTACAAGCGCTGCACGCATGGCCCAAGATATAAGCTAGTGGGAGGGCAGTAGGAGAAATGGCATAGTTATGTATCGTAGCACTCGGCGTATTTATTCTAGGGTGATGGATCTACAGATATTCATATGCAAATCGCTGCCAGACGCAGGCTATCGAGTAAGCGTTGCGTTCTGTTTCCCGGGCGTGCGGCGGAGAAGAAGCAAAGACTGCGCATCCGCTCACGGTCCAAGGGAAGTTTCTGTTTGTATACTGTGACATAATGCCACATCCCAGCTTGGGTATGATCGAAAACTACGGGGGCACGAAAGCCCCCTCTTCTGACCAGACCCCTTTTTTTGTAAAATGAGATATGATTTGTCTAAACGACTGGGGAAGCTTGTAGCTCGCGGCACTGGGCTTCCGGCCCACCTTTTCTGCGTCTCTCTCCGGTCCTATCTAGCGACGATTACGCTAAAAGGGCTAGATCCGGCGCGCTAGCGCAATCTGGAGAAGACATGCCGTATCTGGGGAAAGGCGGATTACAGGTTTGAGCATACTGTACAAGGGTAACATCAGCTGAGTGGTATAAGAATGAATGTGTAGCCCAGGTTTCCCTTTAGCCACCGCAAGTTTCTCCAGCACCATCCGACTCTCTACTCTCACCACACAGTCCGCTTCCACTTGCACATACATACCTAGTTCAACATGAAAGACGAGATGAATACAGCTACCCACGAGGAGATCACCAACGGGACTACAAGGAACCTCTTAAGTGAGGGCAATTCCCTAAAGGGGGTTACCATGCCACCTGATGTTTTCGAGAAGCTGTACCTGTCGCCCCCTCCAAGGGCCATCAAAGGGGTCTCGCGACCGAAGCTTGGCAACCCTACACCGATGTAAGTGTTACAGAGGGTGGCACGATGTATTGTCCCTTGTAATGTGGCCTTTGGAATATTTGATAACAGGAGACATAGAGGTATCTGCGGTTTCATCATCTCTCTCGGTCCTCTGTCATGTAGCTTGATGGGTTGGCGCGGCGCCTCGGCCCCTGGCTTTTCGGGAATGTTTGTTCGACTTCCATTCCCCACATGACAAACAGTCAATTATCTTGTACACACTTCGCTGACCATGCTGTTATAAATAACCTAGCCCTGCGTATTGTTTCTACGGCGGGGTTCTCATGCTCGTCAGCTCCATCCTCGAATTCATCCTCGGAAACACATTTCCTGCGGTAGTATTCGCATCGTTTAGCGCTTTCTGGCTTACTTTTGGCGGTACACTGCTCCCTCAGTTCTATGCCTATGCGTCCTACGCGCCAGTTGGTGCAGCCAGTCCGGCTGAGGGATTGGAGGTACCTTCTTTCAGTTCTGGGTTCGGTACGTTGTCCCTGCTGAAGTCAATTCTTCCTGAACCTACGCAAGAGTGGACAACTGATATTACATAAAAAACCAAGGTTTTTTCACCCTCTCCATCGGAATGCTCTGTTTCGTATACCTCATCTGCTCGATCCGAACAAACATCGTTTTCGTCATTATCTTCCTAACCCTGGTCCTCGGGTTCGGATTCATCACCGGCGCGTATTGGGCGCTGGCTGCGGACTACACAGCAAACGCAGCGTTTGCCGGGAAGTTGCTTACGGTAAGCCGTATACATTCTATATAATTCATTCAAGCTGTCTTAGCGGGTTACTGATGCCAAATGTTTTTGCTAGGCCTCCGGCGCCTCCTTCTTTGTTACCACTGCGTGCGGTTGGTGGATCTTCATGGCGTCGATGCTCGAGTCGGTCGACTTCCCGTTTTCTCTCCCGGTTGGAGACTTAAGCACAAGGGTTCCGGGGTCGCGCGTGGTAGCAGACATGGAAGCTTAAAAAAGCTGTTGCAATAGCAGAGCCGAAGGAAGTTCGGCCAGGAGAGACAACTTCACGGCGGGCAGCTTTAATAGTCGGTAGTAGTCCCATAGCCCTCAAAGATTGTTGCTAGTTATATTGAAAATTGATAAATCTGAGGCACATCCCGCAACGCAACCGTAGACAGGAAACGGGCCCACCCCACCACACTAAGTAGGCTAATGCACAAGGTATAATGTTAACCTTTGTTCGCCCTGCGTCGCTTCGACTGAGGCCCGCGATGCGGTGTGCTACTAGTCTGTGGGAAGGACGCTAGGTCAACCACCTAGAGCAAGCTAGAGTTAGCCGCATCCATAAAATGACACCACTTCCACTCAAGCGTGGAACCGACTGGCAATTCGGCTTCCTATCCGGTGCTGGTCTCGTGGCTAATCTCGCGTAAACGGCACGAGCACCCAGGCTCTTCCTTTTGTCGTACACTGGCGTAGTGCGATTTGCAAGGTATGGGGTCTTGCCAAGTCTTGAGGGCCATTCTGTTCCATGCTAGTCTTCTCCTGTGCCGTTGGGATGGGAGTGCCTCACCCTTATTCAAGGCTCCGGTGTCCCCAAAAGTGCCCCCAATCAGCTTTCGCTCAGCTTTCGCTCAGCCCTGACAATATCAGAACTCAGCTTTGAATCCGAAAATGAATTTTGGTCTGCGTGCTTTTCGTCCGCGTTTCTTTTGATATCTCGTGGCAGGTCGTCAAAACCCTTTCCGAACCCTATTTAATGCCAGTCTGGTGTAGGATTCGAACATCATGGACCAGCGCTTAGACTAAAGCAATAATACTGAGGTACACAGGCACATTGCCATCCAACCCCCCCGCAGCATCATTTTTGAGCTGGAAATTATTGGCATTTCGTCCGAGTCCCCCGTTCCCAGAGTGCAACGGTGCTATTACCCCCTCAAGAGCCAATAACCACAACTATCGGTTCTCGACACCGCGACATAACCACACGCTTTGGTCTCACTAAAGTCCTTGAGAACCGCAAATGGTCCACGTACCCATGCAGCATGATATTGGGATGTGGATATGCTGGTTAGCGACCTGGGCAAGTTCACGACCAACAGCGGGGCAGGCGATGATCTAGATTCGTACCGCAACGCTGCGCTCTGAAGGAATTGATAGGATTGACCCAGTTGAATATGCCGCCGCGAGGCTCAAACAACGGCCCAGGAACTTCTAATGCATGGACGAGGCGGCCTCTCGGTCTTTGAGACGCATCTCTGGCGACGACCTGGACCTTGTATTTCTTTTCAACTGCTCTTTAATCTCACCGTTGTTGCGCAACGGAGTGTGTCCTAATTTTCCATTGGGGGATCATTGAAGGCCTTGCCTTTAGCTGGCCTCCCATGTAAAGCTGTCAACCAGAGTTTAGTAAATGTCATCACCCTCTTTGACAGGATCGGACTTCACACTCACGACACCAAATCAACTTTAGCAGACGTCAGTTTCCTCAGATTCTTTCATAGTCGGGGTAAATAGAGGGTTGTAGGGCATCGTACTATAAATCTTCTACCGTCTCCTCAATAACCTTATGCGGAGCGCACCGAGTGCCGCAGAATATAGACCGGCGTAAAGATTTAAATGGCATAATTGATGACACCGTTTAGGGCTACACATGGGGAGAATGACTGAAAACGACTAAAGGTTCGAGATATGTTTCATGGGATTCGAGGCACTCGTATCAAGTGAGCTGAACTGAGAAATCGACGTGGTTGGAAAGGGCCCCAGAGAGTGGCGTCTTCTTATCAGCACCGCCGCGAGTGACGATCAATTCCGCGGAAAAACAAATCCTTCAGTTATCTCCCAAACTCGGGACCCAATCAGGTGGGGCACATATCCTTGTCTAGCTAGATACTTTGCATCCTGCTGTACTTCGTACCTCCCATTTGATACGCCTCGGAGTATTCTTGCATCGGTTAGCAATGCCTGTCACCCTCAGCTCGATAACAGGGTGTCTATGAAGCGTTTCGAGTCCAATTTCAGTAACAAACCCACGTCTTTTTGAGATGCATAGACATCACCAAAATGTCGCTCGTATTGATAACCTTTTCGGGGGTCCAGGTGGCCCATGACCTTCCTATTGATTTGGCTCTTTTCAGCTTCTTTCGGTCGGATGTGAGTTTTCCATCAAGATGAAGTCGCTTCGAGGCTGAGAGGTGCCGATGACGAGTGAGAACCAACGTATATCATTTAACAATTTAAGAATATACGTAATAAGACGACCTCAAGTGCCATGCGTGACGGCGGCGGGTCGTATTTGCTACTTACCATATCTCTGTGAGTAGGCGCGTTCCCATGTTTTATAGCCCCTGGATGGAACACTACTATCAGAGAGGCGTTGAAGCCCCCACGTGCAAGCACAATCCCCATTAAACCCGACAGCCATATCTTTCGTGGCCTATTGGAGGAGCCCCTGGCCTTGACGGAACACCTGATAAGGATCCAAGGTCCCCACGGAACTCCTCAGCTTGGAACGCTGGGAGATTGGCTCTGCTACTTGAGATGGAGAGCTGACAGCCCTCGACTTATTCTTGCATAGAAATAGATATCTGATTCTGGCCCCCGAGTGTTATCAGAAACATTGATCCCCCTCCGAAATCAACATCTCCTCGGAAAGACAGCAGGAAGAGTCTGTTGTCGGTAAGTATATCATGCGGTCGCCAATGATCATCTGCGATATATCTCCATGTCGTCCAGTAGAAGGGATGAGTGTGATAGACTTGAACCGAAAAGTAGACTTTGGCAAAGATGAGGCTCTCTTCTCCTATTTCGCCTCGCGAGGCATTAGCCGCGCCTACAACAAATAGGGAGAATTTCATCCAGAGCATAGTCATTCTAAGTGTGTCTATTTTCTCTATTTTAGGGGCAGGATGGATCATACTAAGCTTTGCTGTAAGGAAATACGCCCCAGCGCCGTCTGACTTACTACTAACGACTAACACAAATCTAGTGTTTCAAGTCGATGCGGTCCTTTAGGCACCAGCTAATCCTGTACGACGCTCTCTCCTTTCTCAATAACCCTCGTAATGACTAATAGACCGAGCAGAGGCCTCGCAATCAGCGACTGTGCTATGGCGGTCAATTTCCTCGCCTCATCAGCAATGAATATCAGTGGCCGCCGTATCGGAGATCCAGAGAATGCACGATTCTGCAGCTTCAACGGCTTTGCAACTCAGGTTTTCGTCGTCCAGACGGACTACTGGGTGCTGACAATTGCTCTCTCCACACACTTCATCCTTGCTGGCTATAAGAAGATATCCGACTGGCTCCAGGATAAACGCTGGTTGTTGGCCGCCCTCCCTTGGGTTTTGTCGGTAATATGGGCATCCATTGGGCTAGGTGTTGCTGGTTACGGGGACATTGGAGCATGTGAGCCAAACTCATTCTTATCTGTGCCGGGCTACCCATAAGATGCTGATGGTGCCTGTTTCTGCTAGGGTGCTGGTTCACTTCTGATGAAGTCCGCCTCCTTGTCAACTTCGTGCCCCGTTGGATCATTATTGCAGCTATGCTAATCATGTACACCCATCTGGCTTTCGTTTTATACCGAGCCCATAAGCAATTTCGGGATTTCCAGGACTACTCTTCAGATGATCCGAGCTCCTTCTGTTCGAGGGGTGTAGACGGCCTGCCGCATTCTGGCTCGAGGACCACGGCCGCCGACGACGACCACCCAGCTGAACCCCGAAGACAACAGCAACAGCAGAGGAACGGCCGAAAGTTTAAAAAGGCAAGTTGGGATCTGCTATGTATGTATAGTCAGGCTACTTGCTGACTTGACGCTGTACAGCTCGCGCGCCTCATGCTTCTGTACCCAATAGCTTATATGCTACTCTGGACGCTGCCGACAGCAGTTCGAATATACCAGGCTACTCGAGATGTCCCTGCACCTTTTGCGTTACAGACAGTTGACAAGGTTAGGAATTTCTCCGGCGACATGAGAACGCAAACGTCTAACTATACCTAAGGCATGCATCGTAATCCAAGGTTTCGTCGACGCCGTGATCTACGGCCTGAATGAGTCTTCATTGTCCAACTGGCGCAACCTAATTTTCCCCCGGGCCTTCCCCGTCACCGACGGCTTAAACCTCTCCTACGTTACTAAACAGACGCCGCCCCGATTCCCATCTTCTCGAGTGAGTGACGGCGACAGCGCTCCAGGGGATTCGGCAAGTTTAGACACTCCCACCCACGCAACGAGAAGCAGGAAGTTGAAAGCCGTCCGCTTCTCAGATTCCGGGGTTCCCTGGAAGGTACCTCCTATAATTGCAGTGCCGGAATCGGTGGATCAGCAGTTTCGTGAAAGTGAGCACAATAGAATGGAGCTTAGGATTCTGAAAGAGGTCGAATTCAGTGTTACTCCGTCGACGCTCGCTTAGAGGCTGACACGGACAGCCAGCCAGTATTTTTCAGGGCTAATGGCGTGGCTACCTTGTCCCACTGAGCGACGAAGAAGTACACTCATAATACACATTCTCCTGTGCCTGGCTTATTTGGTCAGTCTTCCATCCTGACGACGAAAAAAAAAAGAGAAGTCTGAATGCGGTGTTATTCTGCGTGCATCTCGTAGTCTCTATGGCTTACAATTTCTGCTTTCCAGAGATTGACTCAGTCTCCGAGATGAGAGGAGCTTAATCTAGTCAGCGTCATCCCTAGAATATATGTCGTTCACTGTCTCAAGGATTTCCTTTGCCGGCCGATGCTCACCCGTGTTTCTGGGAAGGACAAACAAATCCCCTTCTCCCTGACCTCTGTTGTTCGCAGGGCTGGCAGGGGCAAGCACGCGATCAAGAATGTGCACGGCTAAATATTCGTCCGCATCTTATGATTGCAGGAGGCAAACCCCTGCCTCCATGAAACCCTACAGTGAGACTAAAAAAGTTTCGATCACTCGACCCCGCTTTATGTTTCCCTTCAACAACTTTAAAGTCACTCTCCAACTTTAAATAACTATATCTTAACTATTTTTATATATAAAAATATTATAAAATATTATAGAGGTATATAGGAAATGTCAAAATGTAATTTCAAAAAGATCTACTAAATCAGTACTTTATATACTACCCTTTTACTTTAATTACAGCTTCCAGCTGTTTTTTCATCCCACCTACTAGCTTCTATAACATTGTGACGGTGAAAAGGGGGATATTGGTGAAAAGGGGGACGTTCTCAAGATTCCGCGAGAATGGGGGCGGAAGAATTTTATTCCTTGCCGTGGCCCAGGGCCATAGTTATTTCTTTTCTTTCCCTTCCTCCCGGGAGGAGGAAGAACAAGTTTTTCAAGTTCTTCAGTTATTCCAGTCGTTAGTTCTTCTTTGAATTGACTTGGTTATTATCAGTTCTTATGGATCATCTTGTATGGTGACTCCAGACAGTTCTTCTATTGTTTTGTGTGCTTGAGTGTCCCCTATTTGACACTCTCATGATCTTTGGCTTCCCCCCCTATTCGGAAGCCTCCTTTGGTTGTGATGCGGCCCTATTTCCGTTGATCAACCATTTCCGACGTCCATTTCCATTCCTGCCAGAAGAACTGCAGCACTTCTTGCGGGAACCATTCTAGACCCATTTTGACCTACTGTTTCTTCTTGTTTCTTGTGGTGTTGCGGGCAGGCTGCACTGCTCCGTCTCAACATCTTAACTTCGATGTCTTTCTATACCTCCACCACAATTATTCTTAGTACCTAGAGACTTTTATAGTTCTTTAGTATATCTACTAAGTCCAGCTAAAGCTTATAAACACGTTCTTTAAACACCTTCTATAAGTTTTCGATAGGGTTAAGATCAGGTAAATATAGTAACTAATCAATCAGTTCCACTCTATTCTCTTCAGCCTACAGAACTAACTAATCTTGGACTATTTGGGCTATATATATAGAAATATTATCTTAAATAAAAATACTACTAGGCTTATATATTATTAGAAGTATCTCTTTAAGGAAATTATAGATAACTTACCTAGTAACCCCTCTATATAGAGAATTAGGGTCTCCCTAATATTCTATTAGTATAGTACAATTGTAAAATAAAAATATAGCCTAGAATATCAATAAATACCTTATTAGCTTACTCTTTAGCTAGACTACTAATTTCTCTAGTTATTTTTTTTATTTTAAATTAGTTAGTATTAGTTTTTAAGTTAGAATATAATTAATATATTTATAGAAAACCTATTTTTAATATTACTTTTAATTATATATAATTATAATCTTATTACTAAAGATAACCCTCTTCTACTATAATATTCCTTTACCTATATACTTCTTTATAAAGGCTAGCCTCTTCTAGATATATTCTTTTATTAATTTTAATTATTAGAATACTACTTTATATATAATACTATATTATTAAAGATATAATATTAGAATAGTATTTATATAAATAAGATTAGCTTATTTTTTAGATTCTAAATAGAAATAAAAGAATCTCTCTTAATAATTAAGAAAATATATTTAATTTTATTAATATTAATATAGTATAGCTACCTAGATTGTAGTTCTAATTTTACTAAAGTTTAATATCTATATCTGATTGTAATACTATTAACTAAGCCCAGTAGAATATAATATTTAACTGCAATATGTCATGGGCCGACCTTTATGCAGGCCCAGAAGCAGTAAGACACAGCAGAAAACAATAGTAGGACAGCTATATGCAGCTGTCCAATAGCTGATAAGAAAAGCGATTAGAGATATAGAAAGTAATCAGCGGCGATCACCCCTATAATCATAGCAATTACTAAATAATTAGTTCTAATCAGTTAAGGAAAAGTTCTAATTACTTTAGAAAGCTTAGAAGGGAAATGTTTATATAAACTACAAGCTCTACTATATATCTAGTTTATCTTTTAAGACTCTCTAGTAGTTAATTTAAATATAACTATACCCCTATATTTAAATATATACTTCTTACTTATATTTTATAAATACTACTTAATTACTTTACTTTACTACTAATAGATAACTATTTTAATTTTATTATTAGTTATATTTGCTTAATATTATTATAAGCTAGTATTAAGATTATAATATATTAATTACTTTTATTTAGTAAGTAACTTTATTAAATAATATTAATATCTAAAAATTATAATATTTATAAAAAAGGAAACTTTTATTAAGTTAGATAATAAGATTAAGATAGGAGGAGTTAAGGTTCTTATTACTAAAGCTAAAGATAACTTTAGTAATAAAAAAGAAAGTAGTTATATTATATTTATTAAAAAACTTTAAAATAATATATATAAATAATAAATTAAATTAAAAGATATTAAAGACTTTACTACTTAATAATAAAATATTAATATTTAAATTAAATAGTAGATTATTTAGCTAAAATAAATAATCTAATAATTAAATACTAATATTATAGCTAGGGGAAGTAATACTTCCCCTATACTTATTATATTTATAATACCTAAATTTAAGATTACTATACTAGAAAAGTATAAAGGGAACTAATAAAAACTATAAAGGTTTCTAATTTAGATAAAAACTTTTTTATAATACTATAGAAACTAGTTTTATATTAAAGTTAATAAAGTTACTATTATAGCTTAGTATTTTATAGGTAATATATTTACTTAATTTAAACTAATTTTCTAAGATTATTTAGAAAATAATAAGATTAATTAATAAGCTAAGATTATTAAAATCTTTAAAAACTATAAGATCTTTAAAGATAATTTTAAAAGAGCTTTTAGAAAATCTAATAAATAGTAAGCTATAATTTAATAACTTAAAAAGTTATTTTAAAAAGAATTTATAGCTAAATATACTACTAAGTTTAAATAGATTACTATATACCTTAACTAAGAAGATAATCCCTTAATAAACTACTTCTATAATAAGCTTAAAAAGAAAGTTAAAAATAAGCTCTATAAGTTTAAAAAACTAATATAACTAATTAAATATATAAAAATTATTATTAAGATTAATAATTAACTTTATAAAAAGTAATAATAGAAATATAAATAAAATATTATAATAAAAGTCTATAAATCTTAAACCTTTACTAATATAAAATAGAAAAAAAATAATAATAATATTTTATAAAAAATTTATTTAAAATTTATAAAATTAGAAGTTAATAATAAGAAAATTATTTTTAAATTACTTAAGAATAAGATTAGTAAATATTATAAATATAGATATTATAAGTATATTATATAAAAATATTAAATATAATATAAACCTAAACCTAAATATAAAAAGCCTAATAAAAAGAAACCTAGATTTAAACTAGTACTAGAAAAAAAGATAAGGTAATTTAAAACTAACTTAGTAGACTATAAGTTTCTATTATAGACTATATACTATAATAATAACTATATAACTTATAAAAGTAAAAAAGATAGAATAAGATAGTACTTTAAAAAACCCTAAATTTTTAATATAATATAATAAGAAAAAATTATTAAAATCCTAGAGATTAAAGTATATATTAAAGAAACCTAAAAGGAAATATTAGGTATATTTAAAATTTTAAAGATAGAAGACTTATCTTATAAGTAATACTATAAGAAAGCCTACTAATACTATTATTAGATACTAGTATTACTTTATTAGAGTATATATAAGTTAAAAATGGAGAAAATAGTAAAGAAATAAAGGGAAGATATTTTATATAATATACTAATTTAATAAATTAATATAAGTAAACCTAAGTTAGAAAACCTTAAAAATACTTTAGAGCTACTAGTAGACTACTAGCTCTACTATAAAGGCTAGGAAGACTACCTATAATAAGTATAATAATAAAGAGAGTAGTAATAGGTGAAAGTTAAGGAATAAGGTAAGTAAGTATAGAAGAGAATTTAAAGAAATAGAAGTTAGAGGAGCTCTATATAAATAGAATAAAATATAAATATAGAAAGTAACTTAATTAACTTATAAAAGTAAGTTAACTAATTATATAGATTCCTATAAACTACTGACTTCTAAGTTAAGTAATTTAAAAAAACCCTCTATAGTAAAAACCTATAAGTAGAGTTTTAATAGTAAATTAATAATTTAGAAAAATAGATTGGTTTTAATAAAAAATTTTTTATAAAGTTTAATAAAAAAATTAATAGTATTTAAGATACTAGGACTATTACTAGGGGAAAGGTTATAGAATTTAAAGATATTATTAAAATAGAACTATTTAAGCTCTATTAACTTATCTAAGAGAAAGAATAAAGGTTCTAGTAATAGATTAATAACTTAAAAGAATAGGTTAAACTTAATAGAAAGAAATAAGTGAACTTAAAATAAGAAAAATAGTTTACTATTTTATTAATTAGCTACTATATAGCCCTCGAGGAGGAAGAAGAAAGGAAGACCTTTAGGAAGATTATTAAAAACCTAGAAAAAGAAGTATTTTAATAAATTTTAGAGTAAAT